TCCCGGCTGGGGCCGTTGGGAGTCGCCGCCGCCTGCCTTTCCCTTCCTGGCTGGGGCCGTTGGGAGTCCCCGCCGCCTGCCTTTCCCCCTGCCTTTCCCTCCCCGGCTGGGACTGTTGGGAGTCGCCGCCGCCGGAGCGGCCCCAGTCCCGCGTTGCCTCGGGAAGGGAAAGGCCACGGCTTGGAAGGCCACCGGCGGGACTGGGCGGTGGGACTGGGGCCACTCCGGCGGCAGCGACTCCACACCATTTTTTTTTCAGAGGGGAATCTGACTCGAGTATAAGCTGAGGGGGATTTTTTCAGCACAAAAAATGGGCTGAAAAACTCGGCTTATACTCGAGTATATACGGTATATCTCAATTCAAATCATTGTATTTGTACTTTTGTCTGTCTTGTTTCAATTTCATATTATCTTTTCTCATTAAACAAATTTTCCCCTGTAGTTACTAATTGGAGTATGACACCTTTATACAGTATCTTTTAATTTTATCCATTCAACTCTTATTTAACCTTCAATTTATACCTTTAATATTATAACATTCAATATAATACATAACTTCCAATCGAATTCTGCTTGGTACATTCTTAAAATACACACTATATACTTAAAAAAATTATATATATGTGTAACTAAAGCACTCATTCCATTCCAATTCAATTCTATCATTAATATTCATTAAAATCTTAACATCTTTAACATTTCCTTTCAATTAAATATCATACTTCCCTGTGAACACTTATAAACTTTCCATAATTAATTTTTTCTCCATATTTCTCTTCACTTATATTTCTATAAATCATTAATAATAATTAAAATGTTCCCATCCTTTCCTAATTTAATTCTCTCATTCACTTTATTTCATTTATTTATTAACAAACATTCCACTACATTACAATAAATATTTTATCCATCATTTAAGTCATATTTTCTAAAATTATTTCTATTTGTAATATACAATACTATCTTATGTACTTTTGCAGAATCCCTTTTACAATTAAATTTTCACCTATTGTCTCTAAACAGGCTTATACTTTCAATCCTTATACCTTTTCCCTGTTTCTCTATACCTTGTTTCTGTCTTTTATAACTTCTTTTCCTTTCCTTCTTCCCCCTCTTCTTCTCCCTCCCCTTTTTACCCCTTTGTCTCTCTACTTCTAATTCTCTCTTCTGTAATCCCCTCTTCTGTTGCTTTCTAATATTATACTTATTTTTCAAACTATTCTTCTTTTTGGGGGGTTGTTTTTTCAAATCTTAAACTTTTCACTCTCTTTCCCCCCTTTCCTCCCCCCCCCCACATAAAATTACTTGATCATTAAAGATGGCTTCTTCTTTGTCCCGATCTTCTTGTTCTGCAAGCATTTCTTGTTGTTTCTCATAGTTCCAGATCTCAATTTCTAAGAGTTGAAATACGAAGCCAAAAGAACCTCTCCCTTCTTGCACATCTTCTTTCCGTTTTTTAAGTTCCATTTTCAATTCTTCTAAGAGTGATGCCATTTTAAACACTTTTAAACAACCACCCAATTTATTGTAGTCATTTAAATGCAATAGCCAAAAATCCAAAAATCACCAAGTAATCCAAATAATCCAAAGCTGTTTCTTCTTGCTTCTTTTTTCCACTTTCTCTTCCTGGGGTTCTATTATTTTGTTGCCAAGTTTCAGTTAAAATGTATCTTTCAGGAATCTTGATAAGGTTTCACTGTAAATTCCTTTTAATTCCAGGCAGTCTCCTCCATTTTTCCAGATCCTGCCCTTTTATTCTTTTTCTCTCCTTTCCTGTTTTTAAAAGCTTTTAAGTATCCAGAAATCTTTATTATCCCTTTGACATTTTATTTTCAGCTTAAATGCCTATTAATGTCAAAGTGGATTTTTTTTCAGTTTCTTGCTTAAGTCTCTTAGCTGTCAGTATAAGAAAGGGAAGGGGAAAAAATGAAATCCTTTCCCTTCTCTCTCTCCTTCACTGCTTAAAAAACTTCTTTGGGAACAACGTTATTTTTTATAGTTTAAATTCCAGGGTACCTTATTTGTTGCTTTTGCTGTTTGACCTGGTCAACCAAAACTTTCTCTTCTTATCTTCCTCCTGCACATTCTTTTCTGGTCGAGTTCTTCTTTGTGGTGGCCATTTCTGACCACCGCTGCAACCGCCTTCGGGAAAGGGAGTAATGGCCAGCTGGGGAGGAGAGATGCGGCTCTCCTCAACCCTGCTGGCAGTCTCCCCCCTCTTCACCATCTCTACGGGGTGGCTTAGCCCCAAAACCAGCCAGCTCGGGGCACTTTGGCGGTGAGCGCAGATCGAAACCGCAAATGATCATGGATTTCGGTCCATCGCTGAAGGAACTTAAACCAGAAGTCCAGTATTTGTGTTTTCTTATTTGACTTTATTTTATCGATCCTGATTTCCTTTCCCAATCATGAATTGATTGGTTTCATAGCTTAGCAAACACTTTTCACCTGTGCTGTTTTTTGCATTCAGCATTTCTTGCTATAGCTACTTTCTCAATGGAGATCATAAAGATCCATCAGAAACAAACTAAGTTTGGTAATGACCCCGATGCAGTACAATATAGACCTCCGGAATTTCATTCATTTCTTGAATTACACATATAAATAAGGATCATGGATTGATATTTGAATGGTGATTATAAAATCCAGAATGAAGTGATAATCTGATGAGTTTCCCATTGTTGGAAGCTAAAACCCACCCCCCTCCTAGGAAAATGAAATATTTTAGGATATACTAAAAAGGCAGAATATTTCCCCTAAAAAGAAAAGTAGAAACTCAGAGAGGCAGAAAATCAGCCTCTACACCTTCGCTAATGGACTATTATTACTCTGGCCTAGGCCAGTCTATTTTACATAACAAAAATCTCCTCCAGGTAGAGCTATAATAGGAATTGCCCAAAGACCTTTCATTACATCATCATCCAGCAAGGCTCAACCAAGCCTGGGACTCAGGACAACCTACAGAGTTGCCTCTGCATGGCCCCATGGGAGTGTGACAACCAATCAGAATACAAGCTCAAATTCAAATCCCAACAGAGGGTATAAAACAATTGCATTCACAGCATATCAGCCCTTCTTTCTTCACCCAAGGCATGTGATCCTGCCCACCATTAAGCCATCTTTCCAAGCAGTCACCATGTTTCCAGTGTCTTTCTTCCCCACTTGGAACTAAACCCAGAAGGCTATTTCTTCCAACACTGTGATATGTAATTCAGTAGTCTCCTCTCTTCAAACCATTTTGAAAATTTTGTTGTGGTATAGGCAGTATACCCAATTTTGAATGAAGGCATTTTCAAGCAATCTCTGGTCATTATTGGGCTGAAATGACCACAATGAAGGTAGATCTTACTCTCCCCTCCATGATGGCTAAGAAAAGCTAGAAGGTGCTATGCGACCATAAGGAACTGTAATCAAGGTATCATATGAAATAATGAAATGACATATTTTAGCCTTGGACTCAGTGTTTAATAGATGTACTGTAAACAACATCTCAAGCACTGTATTATAAGAGTAGTGTAGTGTGAATTCTGTCCGAACTTCCCAGATGGTTAATTTTATGTCTGGGCTTAGGAACAGATGTTAATATGGGAAATCATAACAGTTATTCAAATGGATTTTTAAATCACCGGAGTCTAAAAATATATATACAATAGCATGAATGCTGTTAACTGGTCATTTTTTTCCACTGTGGGAATTATGTGAAAATGGCCTTATTGAATTACCATGTGCTTTACAGATAACTATAAATATAGATAACTATAAAAGTGTGTTTTTCACATATATCTCAAGAATAGTACCGTGTATGCATGTATGGGAGAGAGGTGAGAGAAAACCTGGGAAATAAACAGGATGGAGAACTAAGAAATTGTTTTCAGATATTCCACTTTCTTGGTCCAATTTTTAAAAAATTAGAAATGTATAAGAGTTCCCAATGGATTTTGAAAATAAACTGCCTGCAAAATTATTTATGTCAGTCAAATAATAATAGTCCAGAATATACCTATCTTGCTTACGGAGTCAGTGGGCAAATGGTTGTAAAATAATCAAGATGGGGTCTATGTGATTGAAGCCCTACCCTGTTTCTTACCCGCCTGCCATTTTGAGTTTTTTAACCTCCCTATGAATATTACTTCTTGTTTGCAAGTAAACATGCTTTGTGCACAAAGGGTCCCTGATCCAAATATTCTCTCTATCTTGCTAATTCTGTTGCTACCGATGTGTATCTTGGCCTACTCTAGACCCATGTCTCATTTCAGTGTGGGTGAATTTCTGGTTTTGCTAGAATCATACATTTTTCAATGTAACCAGATTTTATCCAGCATCAAAACCACAGTGAACCACAGGATTGTTTTCTCTTCTTATCCAAATTAATGAAATAATCCCACTGTGCAAACTATTAAATGTTGCAAGCTTGTAGTACGGCCAGGTTCTCCTTGACTTAACCCAAAGTAGATAGGCTTCTAATTGATCTCCTCTGCAGCTCAAAATAATTGTCACTTTGCTTCCTCTATTTTGCAATTATGGTTCTTTATTTTTGTTCTGGACAGATGCCAGTTTTCTATAGTATCTGGAGAACCAATAGTGTGCTTTTCTTTTAATCCAAACATAGGGATGGATCTTCATAATGAACGTGTATGGTAACCCTTACAAATGATTTTGCAGCTCTAGGCAGAAGTTAATGGCAGGTTGTCTTTAACCATGAATCTTAGCCCATAAAGACCCTATAGACATTTTCACAAAATAAAAATAATGGATGACTTTAGCCCAAAGTTTTATGCAGAAGTAGGCTCATCTAATAATCTAATAATAAAGGACACGGTGGCTCAGTGGCTAAGACACGGAGCTTGTTGATCAGAAAGGTTGGGAGCTCGGCAGTTCAAATCCCTAGCACCACGTCACGGAGTGAGCTCCCGTTACTTGTCCCAGCTTCTGCCATGTAAAAATGCAAGTAGAAAAATAGGGACACTTTAGTGGGAAGGGAACAGCATTCCATGCAACTTCAGCATTTAGTCATGCCGGCCACATGACCACAGAAACGTCTTCAGACAGCGCTGGCTCTTCAGCTTTGTAACGGAGATGAGCACTGCCCCCTAGAGCCGGAAACAACTAGCACGTATGCGCGAGGAGAACCTTTAACTTTACCTTTAGGTCATCTACTCAGAAAAATGGGTAAAATTATCTGGTTAGTCCTTGGATAAACAAGGTTTTAAGCGTAGTCAAATCTACCTTAGCAGCTCTATTGTGAACCTACAATTTTTTGCTAGTTCAAAATTCCAAATGTGCCCACTTTGCAAACCCTTTGTGAAATCCCATTTAATCTATGTTATCTGAAAGATTCTAGGTACGCTTGTATTTTAAAATGTGGAAGTATTAATAATCTCAAAAGAGGATGCAATTCATCCATCCTTTCTGTAATGCCAGTACTTTGTATAACTTGTGCTACAATTTTTGTAATAAATCTCACTTCCACTCTCGCTCAGTGTGACTTTGGGTTTTTCAAGGTCAAAGTTCAACTAGTAAGTATTTCTACTGATATTAAGATTTCTAATCACATCAGTTTTGATTATTGGCTATCGCTAAAAAATATTAAACATTATCTCTCTTTTTTTCCCTCCCTCTCTTTCTCCCTCTCCCCCTCTCTCTAATAGGGGATCCCAGGACAAAAAGGAGAAAAGGTAAAATTAATATAGGGTGTAACAGTTCAAATCATATTTGAATACAGGTATTTTCAAAATTGAAACCTGAAATCTGGTGCTTCCTGTATGTCTGAATCAATAGTTTCACTATCCCTGGTTATTGCTTAAAAAGAATATACCTTAACCTGCCCTTTTAATCCGTATGCATTGGTAAGAACAATTATTACAAAAAAAACTAAAAAGTGTATAGTTAAAGCAGGCATCTGCAGGAGACAACACATGAAAATTGTACATTTTCAGTGGAGTGAATGGCTTCCAATGAATTGGCAGGTACTTTTGTTGATGAATTTTGTAACTCTGAAGATTTCCTTGCTCCAAGTCAGATAATATTATAATTGCAGGAAAAGGAACATATTAAATAGGCAGTCCCAGAACCGTGGGCATATTTGATCCTGAATCAATGGTAGTAAACAAAATTGGCCAATAGTTTTGAACCATGAAAGGTACCAAGAACAAGAAGTCCTCTCTGACACGAGACCAGTGACCATTATCCCCACCAAGATGAAAGAACTCTTCACAATGATGCACCTGCTGTGGTCCTGTCTCTTTGACTCTATTTTTGGGTTACATGATTTAAAATATTTTCTTTTTTAATCCTTCTGTTTTTGCAGGGTCAGTGCGGAGAATATCCACACAGGGTAAGCAAATTCTTCTGGGTTTTTGACCTGAACTCTGTATCTTATCCCTTCTTGGCCTGAATAGCTTCCATGGAACTTCAAACAGATCAACTAGGAAGATTCCCCCCTTTGATCCTATGTTTCTCTCACCCACCATAGATATTCTGTGGCTTGGATCCTTTCTTGACCAAAGAAAGAAGAGTCTTTTTTTAAAGGCACTTATCAATATCTTTCCATATTCTAGTCACACAAACTCTGTTATGAGAAAGGGGTGGAGAACAGTCATGGAGGAATGCTTCATCTCCTCACCTATGGTTCCTTTTATTCAAATCATATTAAAATGGCAGTGGACCCTACCAAAGCTTTGTAAGTTTAAATGAACATGGTCACAATGGAACATGGTCATTTAGCACAGCAGGTCTTCTGAAGCGAAGCAAAAGTTCACACATTGTCCAGCATTTTTTGTTTATTTATTTATTAGCTTAGATTTAAAGAATATCTGCCCCCTCCAACAACTCTGGGTACTTTACAGTATAAAAAGCCAGAACAATAAGATAAAAAAAACAAAGAATATGATTCCACAAACAGAAAAAACAAAGGAAACAGCACAAAGTCTTCCAGGCTGCCCCAGAGTCTGGGAGAACAGCCATGTTTTCAATGCCTTTTGGAACATCAACATGGTGAGAACTAGACAGACCTCCTTGGGGGCGGGCGGGAAATGATGCTCCAGAGGACAGATGTTGCGTTGTTTTGCCTTCTTTTAGGATGCTTGGATAAACTATAACTGTAACTAACAAGAGGAAGAGAACGACTGAGCACAACAAAACAACATGACAAATACTAATGTACTTAGAGTTAACATAGCCAAGGGGTATTTACATAGTTGGGAACTTACAACCACACATGCAAGTTACATGTCTGATCTTATATAGCAATAATCTGTGGACAATCCAGAAAAGTCTTTCAGGATTTAACATTTTAATTTAATCTAAACAATGGGAACGAGTTACAGTTTAGACAACAAGTTAGAATCTAAAAGAATCATCAAATTTGACTCATTTAAAACCGAGTTAAAATGAGCGACCAACTGGTTTGCAAACTGTACTCAGCATAACAAGGTTCCCATCAACAGCCAGATCTCGAAAACCCTCTAAAGGCAATTAAAAAAACTACATTTCCATTTGTTGCATAAAATTTATCCTTACAATAAAAAGTGGATGACCAAGGAATAGGAGAAGAAAAGAAACTTCAGGAGACAAGTATTGTCTTTGTCTTCTCCAAATGTCTTAAGAAACTTTTGAATATGAATTTGATGACATTGATGGCTTTTTTTAAAAAATCTCTGGGGCCAATGGTATAGCCCTAATCAATGCTAATTCACTGAGAATGCAATGCAAACTTAATCATTACCACAGAATCTTATTTGAATTCTTAACCATACGATATGTGTATGATTTGTACCCTGCCAATTTTAAAAATGACTCTTGCCAGATTACATCCCTAAAATCAAAATAAAACAGCATACAATTATCATTAAACCGAAAAAAATAAATCAAATATTTAACAAAGCCAGCATTGCATGTGATGAGATTTAATTGTGTTTCTTGAAAGGCATCAAAACAATATTTCAGTGCCAAAATCTCCACTCAGCAATTGTTTATGTGAAGCTGATTGGAGTTGAAAAGAAAAGTTATTCCTGTAGATTATCTGGACAATAAACAATAATGCTCAAGAGAACTTCATGTTCCAAATCTCAACTTGGAAGATTTCTTAAATCCATCAAATTTCAGCCAAAGTTTACGTTTATCTACTTAATAGATTGCTCTTTAAAACATGGAGAATTAGTCATGAAATCCTAATGTACATCCAGATAAATTTGTTTTCTTAGAAAATATGGTCTATGACACATTGATTGATGAGCTATACTGCTAGGAGAAAGCATTATCCCATGTGAGCGTTCAGAAATGGGTCAGTCTCTGAGTACTGTAATGCTGTACCACGAGGGCTCCAGAATTTCTAGGAGGGTTAGGGCCACAAGGAGTGATTGTAAAGTCTAAATCTCAATCTAAGTTACAAGTTGTAAAAAGCCAGAACAAGATCTTGGTACAAATGGTTAGCTAGAAATCAAGAGTCTTTGCTGGATAAAGTCCATCCTTTCCAGAATTCCATCATGATCACTCAAGCAGCCTCTAAGTAAGTTGGGAAACCACTAGTCCTATCCATTGAGTGCTCTGCAGCAACTCCTAATATGTGGTCTTTCACTTGCAAATAGGTTAGTTCCCTATCAATAGTCTTCCCACATTTGTTACTTAGCCAATTGCCTTTTATTTTGTTATTCGTTATGACCTCATGGTTGACACGGGAGGGTAGGGATGCAAGAATTGAGGAGTCAATCTAAGGCAGAGTTCTCCAAACTTGGCAACTTGAAGACTTGTGAACTTCAACTCCCAGAATTCCTCAGCCAGCCATGTAAGATGGATGTTGCAACACAGCCAGCGACCCAGGAGATTACAGCACAAGACCCAGGATGCCACAACAATAGA